CCCATCTGCAGACCTGCCTCTTTGTTCACTCCTATGGTGTTGATTCACTTTACAATATATTCAGTGAAGCGTTTGAGATGATTATTGATTATTATGGTCATCTCCCTCGCTCAGCATCCAAACCTACCAATGTGCAGTTCCCCTAGACATTATTCTGCATGAAGGGTGCTTGACAAATTGCAAGTTGTTGTTGTTTTCTTCTGCACTGCACTCAGACTGCAGTGGCACAGAGACAATGGGCCCAATGATCGCCTTCTGTGTAGAACATTTTTTTATTTCTATCTTACTCACTATCACAACAGATCCTGATGTGATGAATCCAAGAAGTGTTCACACTCATCTCCAGTGTGGCCATGTCGTGTCACACAGCCCAATGCTACTTCATTGAACTGGTTCAAATTGATTGTTAAGTGGGAAGTGGTGTAAATGTAAGAGGAACTGCTGATCCTTCACTGGACCGTTATGTTTACTGACCTTGGTTATGTGACTTTAGAAAGCAATTTTAACATAACCCACCATCTAAGAATAAGATGTACACAGCCACCGAGATTGGTGAGTTTACCAGTGATGAGAGAATGGCCTCTTAGGTTGCAAACCTGGACTGAAAAGTGTTTTAAATTGATCAGAGCACATTCCAAGTTGTATTTTAAAACCAAGTGATATCAAGTGATATTTTCCAAACTGTCCAGTACCATAAGCTTGTTATTGTTGTACTGTCTTTACCCTTTTATTCTAAAATTGCATGAGCATAGAATGTGCAACATAGAAGAAATTGTTATTTTCAGCAGACCAAGTTAAGTGGCTATCCCTCAGGATTACCATTTACCAGTGGCATGACTGTGAGTGAAATAGCTATGAATCATGGACTTAAATCAAAGACTATAGATAGAGATCATTGAAACTGCAGTATCCATTTCCCAGTGTCAATTTCCAGTCATTTTTGTATGTTCAGAATCAGCTATTTGGTGATCTGTGTATTCAAATTGATTTAGCAGCAGAATTGTCAATAAAAAGATTAAAATGTAAAAGATGAGAATACGAGACTCAAATAAGGGACAAAGTACTTTATTTCTGAAAGCTACATTCCTGGAACGGACCTATAGGTGACAAACGCGTGGCTTCATAGAGTCTGCAGTACTGCAATCACAGTTTGAATTAAACTGGCTGAAGGTGTTTGTCTGGTTAAATTGGTAGCACTCAAGCTTCTGAGTCAGAAGGTTGTGGGTTCAAGCCCCATATCAATACTTGTCGTCTTGGTTGTTACTCCAAAGAGGTGCTGGGAGTAGCATTGCATTGTGGAGGTGCTGTCCTTCAGATGAAATGTTAAATAAGTCTGCCTGTCCGTGACACTATCCAAAAAGTGAAAGGAGTTTCTCCTAGTGTTCAGGTCAACAGTCCCCCATTCTTGGATCATTCACTTCTTGGCTGTTTGTGGGACATTGCTGTGCTATCTGTGGCTACAAAATGCATAGTTACTACACTTTGCAATGAAACCTTATGACACGATTTAAGACTTCCTCCCAATGTGAAAGATGCCATGTCAAATGCAACGATGATCATCATTATGATTATCATGTAAGCCCAGGCATGGCATCTTCCAATAACTCCTTGTGCTCCCTTTCAATCGAATGTAAAAGCTCACAAAAGGGAAGGTGTCCAGTCTGTTCAGTTAATTATTTAGAATGATGAACAGGTGAAATAGAGGAGAATAAGAACTCTGTGGAGGTCAATAATAATAATCCTTACATTTGGGATAACTCCTTTCACGTCAGGAGGACATCTCAAAGAGTTTCACAGGTACAATTGAGCGGCTGTAAGTTTTGTCTGCAAACATGTCAAAAAAAATTCAGACGGTATTACTTAGCTATTTGTTGGAGAACTAAATTGAGGGATATTTGAAACAGAATAGTGTCGGATTATTTAATTAATTTTAGTTTTACGAGTTTATTTTATATTTGGGGTCGGATAGACTTTGAGACATCTCGAAGACGTGATAAGCGTTATATCAAATGCAAAGAGTATTATTATTATTACAGTGGCTTTGTCCAGACCTGCACTTGGGTGAGAATGAGATTAGAATGAAGCTGTAGTGGAGTTTTCCGCACGACGGGTAATGTAACTTGTGTAGAGCAGTAGAGTGTGTTTGAACAGTATTGATGAGAGGATGGATGAATATTCCAGAGTTTTTTTCTGATTACCTTTAGAGAATGGGGAGCTTTGTCTACAACAATATTTCCCTGAGATACAGTGATTGGTGTGGTTCAAAATAAGGTATGTTGTGCATTTGAAGCAGCAGTGTTAGGCTGACTGGCCTTTTCTTGTTCCATTACATCCTATGTTCTAATAGGCAGATTGATGCGGTGAGATGGCAGGGAAACGTGAAAGGATATATCTCTATAGGCCTCTCTAGCACACGTCCTAATTGTTGGGTTAGAATCAGCTTTGGAGTAAATTGCCTAACTGCTCAGGGAATTGTGCGTCCTATAATTCTTAAAAAAAGTACAAAATATTAACCAAAGGGGAAAAAGAATGTGCAATTTTAATCGGATTTCCTTAACTAGAGGCAAGGACACAGCATGATGTGTGTATCTGCCTGTGAGGTGTGGTGAGTGAACCTTCAAAGAAGGTTCTGATTGTGGTGTTTGTGTACATATTTCAGACTGAGCTATTTCACCATTATTTTTGATTGTCTCTTGTTGCAATTCATTTTACTGCAAGACTGCTTGTGAGATTACTTTTGTAACTAAATGGATTATCCTGTACAAGTATGATGAGAAAAAAAACAAGATGCCAGTCCCAATTAGATTTTGCCATTAAAATATGGGTTCGATTAGAAGCTACATTATCTGTAATACCCCTGTAACGAGTGACGCTTTCCTTTTATCTAATCATTCTTATCAAAGGAACATTGTCTTCCTGAGAAACGTGTTTTGGGAAATGTTTCTTTGGTGAAAAAGAAAAGCCATGTGTCATCTTAATCAGAATGACACAAGTGATGTGAAGATACTTCATATGATTTACGTCATTGTACATTGGAAACAAACGGGGGGGAAAAAGGTTTGTCAAATGCTTTTTCATGAGGGTAATGCCTTTTACCCAAATACTTGTGGTTAAACTGAGGTCCTACCTACTTGTTCAGATGGATATTAAAGATTTCATGACACTGCTTGAAAAGAGAAGGGAGTTTCTCCCAGTGTCCTGGCCAACAATCCTCCAAATAAGAATTGGTCATTCACCTCATGTTCTGTTTGTGGGACATTAGTAGGGGGAAATAGGTTGTGTATAAAATACATAGTCACTAAACTTTACAGCAAATCATATGAAGAGCTGTGTGACATCCTCCCAACATGAAGATGCTATATTAAATACAAGGATTATTAGTTTTGTGAATTCACAATACGGTTCACTAATAGTGATTCAGAGACTCCAGTGGAGAATCTTGTCAGTACCAGGCAGAGTTGTAGACTGATTTGCGGATCCCCATGTTCTACTAATAGTGACTCAGAATGTGGCCCAGCAAGTTAGCTGTAATGTACTGCCAGTTCATGACAGGATTACCAATTAGCAACTGGATGTCACCATCAGAGAATTTCAATGCTTTTTCAACAAATAAATTAGTGTCTGAATCAGTGATCCTTCAAGTAAAATATTCTTTAAACACCCTGTACTATAAATTCTGTGAAGTGTTCTGGGATATTTTGATGATGTAATGAGGCTATGTAAAATGCAAGGATTATTATTCTTATTTTACAAATGCGAGCAAAAACTAAATAAAAACCTTTTCAATATACTGATCATGTTCCATGAGTAAAAGTTACTAATCCAGTCACGTTTCTGAATAGGGATCATCAATGCTACCATAGACTTCCAAGGGTCATAGTGTTCACAGTGTACAGGTATAACATTGATTACCAAATACAAGGAGTAGGGAGAACAAGGGTGGATAATCAGTGTTTTTGTCTCCCTTTGTAATCATACAATGGCTTTGAGAATTCTTTCTGAGGAGTCAAGGTTGATGAACTGATGGATTGGAATATCTAAAATATCTGAATTTATGGCAGCTGTAAAGCAATATTATAATGATCTTTACATTTGATAAAGCACATTATTACGTCAGCAAAACGCCTGAAAGCATAAAGTGCAGTGACTGTGTTGGCAAAGGTGGCTGCTAATTTGTGCACTGTAATGTCCCACAAACACCCAGGAAGTGAATGACAATCTTATCTGGAGGATTGTTGAACTGTAAACTGAAAGAAATACCCATCTCTCTTTGAATAGTACAATGAGATCTTTAACATTCACTGTACTGATGTGTTTGCTTCAGTAATACATATATCCAGACTGGGATGTAATATTATAATAATAATATAATAATAATAATCCTTGCATTTGATATAGCGCTTTTCACGTCTTCTCGACGTCTCAAAGCTCTTCACAGAATAGACTGTAAAGTTAATTGACTGTATATTTGTGGGCGAAACGCGGCAGCCAATTGCGCACAGCAGTGTCCCACAAACAGTCGTGGATTGAAAATGACCAATTTATTATTGTTTGGTTTTCGAGGGATTATTACTAGGCGTGTGGAGTAAGGAAACTTGCCCAAGGTTTTGCCCTGCCTGGAATTGAACCCATGTGTCTCGCTTGCAAGGCGAGTGCTCTAACCACTGAGCTACAGGACTCCACAATTGATGGTTAGTGCCTATTTGTGGTTGTCTATTGGACTTAAGCTTTTGAGTTGAGTAATTGAATATTTGACACTAAAAGAAAATAACCTCATGAAGTGGTTGTTCATTGCCATTTTTAGGAGAAACACACACAACCTGTGCACATAAATTGGCACATGTAACGGTAAATAAATATCGGGAACATGGGATTGGCAGAGCTATTGACAATGCCCATTAATAAACATATCTAACTTTTTAGTTTTCTTTGGTGGGGGGGAGTCACTGAATGATAGCTGACAATGTGTCCTCACTGTAGCATTATGTTTTGTCATCTAGGTAATGAAGATGGCATTCAGGAAACAGCAGATACAGTCGGTGAAAAGCCAGGCCAAAGTAATGTGGAACTGGAGGACTGGGATGGACCAGGTATGTAAAGGCTATCCACAACTTGTTCTGTTCTGGGATGCTTTGAATTGCACTTTGTTCAAAGGCATTGGTTTTCCATATGATACAGTGACACAAGGTAGCAAACGTAAAGGTGCATGGTATGCATCAGACAAACATGTTAGATTCAACAAATTAGATTCAGCAGTACCTGCAGTGTCTTCAGATTAAGGATTTCACCATGGAACAATTGGGGGTCTCTGTGAGGACTTACAGCACGTGGTGGAATGTACTGGGTGGGGAAAGGAGAGGGGAGCATTTTAAGCTTTGTTTTGGATAGGGGGCAAGGATCCTATTATAAAAATGAATTTGAGTTGGAATAAACATACCATACCCCCAACCACTAAGGTTATCTCGTCACCAAGAAAATCAGTGTCTTTTATCTCAGGATGTGGGAAACAGACTATATTTTGGGGGATACAGTTTGATCCATTATGAGTGAAACCTGAAGCCCATTCAGGAAGGAAAAGTCCAATTTGAATTGCTGAAACGGCTTTCAGAATCAATAGCACAAATAAGACTTCAGCTCAGTTTCACATTGTTGTTTTGCTCCATTTTTAATTTATTTTAGCGTTCAGTACATTTTGGGATTTTTCTGATACAATGGAATCATTTTCAAAGAATTTTGAGATAAAAATGTCGCATATATCCTTTACTTGCCGTCTCATCCTGCCCTAAAGAATCCGCATGACTGTACCTTTTTCTCTTTGATACATAAACGTATTTGCTTCTCTCATATTTGGGTGGTTGGGCCAGGATCACATTTTTTTCTTTCTATTGAAACGAACAGATTTTTTTTTCCTGGGGTAGTTGAGACTTCTGCAACTTGCTCTCGATTTCCAACTCATCTTCTGTACTTCCTTTCACTATCGGGATGTTAGTTACATTTGTTCCATTTCCATTTAACTCTGTGGTTCTATCCACAGAAGCTGCAGAAAAACACTATGAAGGTACAGAAAATAGCAATATTGGAAAACTGTCGCAGCTTTTCTACTCCACATGTTCAAAAGTTCAGAAATGCAAGGCTTTTTAATGAAATTGAGGGAAATTTATTATGCAGTGTAGCTTTAAATATGGATGTTGTTACTAAGTTCTCAGTAGCTTCAGTTTTTCTAATATCAAAACACTTTCTGCCAACGCATATTGTGCTTCACTTCTTATAGGTCTTATTTTTGTCATTAGAATTTCTCAAAAAAATGAAGGACACAACAAGTTCTTTATCTTTTATGAAGAAACAAACAGGAAATCAACCTGTTTTTTGTGCTGCTTTAAAAAGAAGCAAATGTTTTTTTATAAATTGCTTGCTCTTTAAGTTGAGGGACATACAAGCTGGGGGTGGAGGTGTGGGGGGAAGTTAAATATTTGTCAACATTTTGTTTGATGTCTGAATTAAGTATCCAATATAGTAGACAAGATCTCTCTCTGTTCTACTCCCAAATACACCTTAATTCTAAACTTAGTGAAGAACCCACACGCTACATCATTGAGAGTGGTATTGAAGATGGGTTGGGTATGAAGAATATGATGTGTTATTCAACAGTGATGGTGTTTGCTGTTGGAAGGGAAAAAATAGTTAATGTGTTTGGAGCCGGCCACGCGTTTTGGACTGTCGCCTTGTGGATTGCTGCAGTGGAATGCAGTTATTGGGATATTGCCTTAAGCCTTAAACTTAACTAAACCCAAACATCAGACAGTCATTAACTGACAGTCCGGGTGAACTCGAAGTGCAATGCTCGACACAGCCGGCTTCTGGGTGTAACCATTGTAAATATTGGCAGCAAATGTGTGAGTGTGTGTGTGTAGATGGGACCTGTCTGTGTGTAGATGGGAGCTGTGGCCTCCCACCAACGCACCTACAAATAGATCAATAATTATCCATATGTCCTGATTGCTTTATTCAACAATGTGTAAATAAGCACAGTCTATTATAAATTTCACCTCGCTATTTGCAGCAAGATTAGCAAGTGGACACTTCAAGTGGTGATTGGAGACCCTGGTGGGAACTGGAAGTCTGGGACTGCAATCTGTGAGAACTCCGTTCTGAAAATAGATCCCATCGGAGTGGAGTTCCTGTGGATTGGTGGATTCCGCTTCATACCAGGAGTCATTGTTTGAGAATCCTATCATGATTATTGAATTAAAGCTGGTTGCTCTTCAGCCTCTTTGACTGACGCACCCATTCAGTGCAAGTTTGCACTTGGATGCTATAACTACAAGTAACTGGACTGAGATAGCCCAAACCTTTTTTTTTGTTTGGAAATGTTACATACAGCAGACAGAGATGAGATCTATTCTGTGAAGAAAGCTTCTTGACCCATGATAGATAATCGACTTAGTAAGCATTAGCAGAAATGCCATTGTTCTCTTTGCTGATCAAACCCTCAATAATGTGCTTGTTACCATTGCAAGACCCGACAGGCCCGGACAGTGGATGGACATATTGTGCTTTATCTTCAATGCTGAGAAACCAAGGCAATAACTGTGTCAAGAGACTAAACTGCTGCCTAACCACTTTAGGATTATATAAATTCAGGAACAGGAGAAGATTGTTTGGTGTTTGCTCTGCGAGGGTACTAACCTTTGTTTAGTTCCAAAAAAATTGTTCCCAAGCTTGAGATCAAACTAGGAATGTAAAAGGAGGGCCCTACTATTTTGTATTCATCCTAAAGGTTGACCTGTGTGCACTGATGGACTGGAGCTATGTCCTTAATGTTTAAGCAGAATTAACAATTACTTTTTAGTGCATGTTGGTGGCTAGGGGAGAACTGTGACTTCCTTTCTGCAATTTCATCATCCTTCTCCAACTTTTTCTGCTCTCTGGTCTATCACAATGGTTTACCCACTGCACCATCCAGCGCCTGAGCTGATAACTTTTGAAAGCATATGTTTTAACACGAAGAACGCATGTGTTGACTTGTATCCATGAGAGAAAAGGGAACAGAGGGAATGGGAAGGGGTAGGTAGAGGGGATAGGAAGGTTGGAGTATATACATCGTCAAGGCTGAATAGCCTGTTTCAATGCTGAAAGTCTATGTAATTCTATGTTTCCAATTATCCTTCATTATATGGACCTGTCACGGTACAAAGCATTAAAATTAAAAGTGAGTGTCACCGTGCCGCTCTCATCCAACTGAAAGAACTGATACTGTTAACATTCCAGATATTTAGTCCTGTAGCTCAGTGGTTAGAGCGCTCGCCTCGCAAGCAAGAGACCTGGGTTTGATTCCTGGCAGGGCGAAACCTTGGCCAAGTTTTCTTACTCCACACTCCTGATAATCACTCAAGAAAAAAAACAATAATAAATTGGTCACTTCAATCCATGATTGTTTGTGGGACACTGCTGTGCGCAATTGGTTGCTGTGTTTCACCTACAAATATACAGTCAGTTCACTTTACAGTATATTCTGTGAAGCGCTTTGAGACGTCTCGAAGATGTGAAAAGCACTAACATCAAATGCAAGGATTATTATTATTATTAATATTGACGAAAACTTGCACAACAGGAATAGCTTCATAGTATATGAAAAGAACTTGCGGTATCAAGTGTATTTGAACTATGAAATGTATTCCATGTATGTGAGGGCACATTACAATGAGGACTGTGTGTGCTTGTTCAGAACCCAGTGGACATTATTAATTTAAAAGCAGCTGTGAGATCTCTGGATCCTGAAGATGTTTGGGAATAAGCTTCCTGCACAAAATAGCCAAATGTTCTACTTTTTGTCGGACAGATTCTAAGCAATACGCCTGTGACTTTTTCCCTTTAGTGCTACTACAAACACAACTTCACCTCAACCACTACTCAAAAATGCCCTAAAAAGAAAGAGGCATACATTTAAATTTAAAAAAAAAATAAAATCACCCTATTTACATTATCTATATTTAGAGAGGATTGTACATCAAACGAGTCTTGATTCAACGATGTGGAGTCCTTTGCTCAATGGTTAGAGCTGGGTTCAATTCTAGGTAGGGCGAAACCTTGGGCAAGTTTCCTTACTCCACACGCCTAATAATAATCCCTCCAAAACAAAACAATAATAAATTGGTCATTTTCAATTCATGACTGTTTGTGAGACACTGCTGTGCGCAATTGGCTGCTGCGTTTCTCTCAAAATATACAGTCAATTCACTTTATAGTCTATTCTGTGAAGAGCTTTGAGACGTCGATAAGACTTGAAAAGCGCTATATCAAATGCAAAGATTATTATTATTATTGTTATTCCAATCCTCTCTTCGCACAGTACTGGAGTCCTGTAGCTCAGTGGTTAGAGCACTCGCTTTGCAAGTGAGAGACCTGAGTTCAATTCCAGGCAGGGCGAAACCTTGGGCAAGTTTCCTTACTCCACACGCCTAATAATAATCCCTCCAAAAAAGCAAAACAATAGTAAATTAGTCATCTTCAATGTACGACTGTTTGTGGGACATTGCTGTGCGCAATTGGTTGCCACGTTCGCCCACAAATATACAGTCAATTCACTTTACAGTGTGTTCTGTGAAGCGCTTTGGGACGTCCTCCCGACGTGAAAAGTGCTATATCAAATGCAAGGATTATTATTATTATCTCTTACGGAGAGCCAGTGCCAGCATTCATTGGCTTTCTAGGATTTTGTTTCCATATTGAACCTAGTAATGATTTAGAATCAGGCATCTTTGAGTAAGATTGTTTTTGTCAAGATTATCATATGTCTGGCCACAACTTAATTTCTACAGACCCTATTCCTCATTTCTGCTCCTACAAATAGTGCAAAAAATAGAACAATCCCATGGCAGAGCTCAAACAGCTGTTTGTCTCAGATGGTTCCTCCAAACTAAATTGCCCTACAGCTATTTGTTTCTCCCGAGAGAGCCCCCTCATGAGGGTCTTTCTCTTCTTTAATTCAGTCCTGAAGCTCCGATGAATAGGGGCACTTAGGGACTGAGATGCAGTAAAAGATGAGATCATATGGCACCGAATGTCCTATTGATGGACTTCAGCTCTTTCC